ACCGTGGGCAGCAAAGAGAGGCAAGGCAACCCAGTCCATTCTGGGGGCTATTTGGGGGACAGTTTTGGGTGGACAGGGCAGCTAGAAAGCCGCTTCGCTCGTCCCCCCCCCCGATAATCCGGTTGAGAGGCAGGCCAACGGTTCGTTAAAATGAAGTCAATCTATCATACCGCTATCTCTTGCCCGTTCCTTACTGCCACCTCGAAGGGATGGCAATCTTCTGGAAGGAAGGAAATAAATAAAAAAATGTATCATTTCACCGGGTGGTTTCGCCCGGCCCAAACAGAGAGCAATAAAACGAATGAGAAATTTTTCTCCATACTTTTTTTATAAAGGAAAGAGAAAAAAGAAAAGAAAAAAGCTATTGATAGCCCGAACAACGTCTCCCCCCCAGGGAGAAAGGAAAAGCGAAATCTACTTACAGCAACCACGATACCGGTACTCGAGTATTCCCTGCCCCACTCTATCTTAGGAGAAACAGTCCTACTCCCAGAAGTTTATTTCCCTCTGAATCATGAGTAACAGGAACACTCGAGCACACTTTTCTGATGGGTGATGTTTGGAGAAAAAAGTGTGCCATTTTTCTATCCAGACTCCGGGCACTCCCTCTGCGCCCCCTTCATTCCCAGTCCTCCTCCTTCCTCCCGGCTGTTTCTGATATTCACCAAGCGGCTAACCCAGATGCAATATAATCTGCAGCTTTTCAATCCCCCGGCTGCCGCAGTCCACCAGCTAGTGTGGTGCGCACCCCTCGAAGGAAAAGGGAAAAAAAGAAGAGGGAGAGACGGAGATCTAGCCTACGAAAGACTCCGAACCGACAGTGGCTGTCTTTCAAGTCCCTCGCTTTCCCCCCCCATCCATCGCGCTCTCTGGGAAGCCGAGAGCCGAGAGCCGTCAAAACCCTTCCTCCGGTCTGGGAAACTTTCCCCCAAAAAAGTATTGCAATTGGGAATCTCGTGCACCGATACCAGATCCACTGTACAGTAGATATAAGCAACATGGATCCAACCGTGATCACAAAAGCTCCTCTCTTTCTTTTGATCAGAGGATGTCGACCCGATGCCATTCCTCAGGCCAAACCCGATACCGGCACCATACTGTACTACTAGTATCATAGTACCATACCGGTACTGTATTCGTATCGTATTGGTACAAGTAACCCCTCTCGACTTTTCCTGCCGAATTAGGGCCCGAGCCCGAGAACTTCCCCTTACGCGCGGGCAAACTTCCTACTTCACGTGCCGCTCTCACCCACTTCGCTGCAATACCGGTGCCAGTACCGTACTGTACTCGAGTACCGGTACTGGTACTTGCACCGGTATGGTAGCGTCTTGGTTAATTCTGAAAGGGGTACTTGACCTACCCTACAGGATATCGTACAGTGCAAGTACTCGAGTACTGTACAAGTGCCAGGGGATATGTTTTCGTACGAGACAGGGATAATTTTGCGGGTTAACCTGAATTAACTATGCGAAAACATTATCCCTAGCACTTGTACCAGGGGGTACTCGTACTGTAAGTTACGAGCGCCAAGGGTAGAAAAATAAGAGCTGAACTAACGCCCCCTCTCAGAGATCCCAATAGGATGGATGTTTCCTTCCTTAATACTTACATAAGCAAAAACTTGCTGGCGTGAATCTGTAAGGCGGCACGAGTGCATGAATTCTGAATGGTATTAACCGTGCTGCTGTCCTTGTCTTTAGTAAAGTCGATGGAGTGGAATGGTCCTCCCTTCCGCCGTACCGCACTGGTACAGCACGGAACCGCATCATCATAACCCTACCGTACGCTACGGTAATTTTCTATGCACGGACCGTACATCTTGGACCGGGCGATTATCTTCGGCTCCTCTCCTCTTCTTTTTTTAATTTGCTCCCCGCCACATTGATGGAAAAGGGTCCGTAAAATCGGAATCCGGGTGACACAACATGATCACACTGTGCCACGGGTACTACACTTGGATATCCATGCGAACATCTCAGCATCAGAACGTGATTTCTCGTGTTAGCTTGGCAACGATTCCTGCCGTATGCCCTGAACATGTCCCCTATCATTTACTGGCACTCGACCGAATAAAGTGCGCTTTCCGCCTCCCTTTCCAATCCATCCATCCATCCTTGGATAGCGGGGTGTTCGTCCGATGTTTTCATTGCTTTAGTCTGTCATTTGGCGAGCCAAACTTTGAGCCATTGGTCCAATCATCTCTTTTTTTGGTCCTCCCTCCGAGGCATTGGCAACGTTCCAGCGGCATTCACATCGGGTAAACCGCCGAAATTCCGGCCGGAGGGGAGCACTGCAGATTGGTCATGGATACCGGTACACTTTATTGACATTGGCCAAGCATTGGCCGAAAGCAGCTGGGATTGCAGGGGGATTTTCAAGTTGCGTAGCGAATCGACATCAACGTGGGAGGGGAGTGCCACAAGTCGTGGTTTTTGCGGATAAAATCCACTTCGTTGTCTATACTGGCTGATATTTTCTAGGAATGTTTGCTGCTCTCCCTCGGATGTCACCTTGGCAACATTTTGGCTTTTCGAGGTTTGGAAATGATCGTTCTGACAGTAAAGCATCATCCTATTGACGTACGGTATGATTCTTTCGGGGCAGCACAATTGTCTCCACGAGACACGAAAAGGGTTGGAAATAAACCTGAACTATGTGGTATCTTCTCCTCCACTCCATGGTTCTTCAAAGGACAACGCGGGATACTGACCGGGTATCAATCATACTGTACATATCATCAATTCATTCATTCAGGAAATTCCCCAGAAAAATGACACATCATCTGAAACTTCACCTACTGTTCAGCGACTCTTCTGTGGGCCGGAACCTACCTACGACTTACCGTGCTTGTCCTCGTTTTGTCGATCCTTGGCGCCACCGAAGAGCTGTCGGTATTGTGTATGAAGTTGTATTACAACCTGGCTTGAAAAAGGTTATCGCGGGGTAATTATTTGGTTCGCTCCTTACTTGACAAACAAAGTCTCTCTTTGAAACAATAACTCTACAAGCCGCAGTGCAGTGCTTGTAGCGAGGGCTTCAATTTCAAGGAGTTATGAGGTTCACTAGTCACGGGATCTCATGGGGATAGCAATTATTGGCTCCCCACCTTTGATCACTTGAAGTGGGGAGGAGGGGTGGTAGTATGCACAACACTACCGGTATATCATTTGGTATGTGGAAGCTCTGACATGGGGGAATTTTCGCCTTGCTCTGACTGCTCTGAAGCTATCCCCATCTGGCCCACATCCGAAATCCCCAGAACAACTTTCTTCTCTGCCCAATGCCGTAGCCGTGTTTTATATGTCATGTGTCCGTTCGCCACCGAATACTGGATGCGATGAGCAGCCGTTAATGCACCATGCGTGGTGCCCCTGGAATGGTGTTTGAAGTTTCATATTATGTGCCTCACCGTTCTGGGCAGTCTAAATCCTGCCAGTCATCGGTCGCAATCGTGCCGCTCAAACCCTCGTTGGGCAGTTCGGGCTTTCATCATCACACATAATCACTGATGGGTCCAGTGACACCTGTGCTCGATGATGAAGTGATGATCTAGTGGCCCTCACATATTGGCCGTATATTATTAGGCCGGTCTAGGTCTCGACTCTGTATAGGTTTTGGTGCTGATTGATTTTGGTCTCGATATACTCCACCCGTACGACTGAGGTTCCGAGAAGTCTTGAGGGCAGAGCAAGCGCTCCTGGAGAATGACCTACCAGTTCTCGATAAAGGAAGCTTACTCAGTATGTTGCGGGTAAGGTGCCGGGATGCACACGGTGTCACTATAGTCGGATTCTATCCCTTCGGAATGGCGACAAAATACTGACATGCGGTACCCACGCCAATGGTCCAACCGAGGACGGGGGGGTCGATATTTACCCTGAAGATTATCTCTTATCCTCGAGCTCCAATTGACCCCGGCGCGCCCAGGAGCGGGGCTAGGAAAATTAGAGGGTGATGGGGACATACAGCTCGGGCCTGATGTCTCAAACAACTATCATAACTAGTGGAGTCCCTTAATCCGTGTGCAGATTTCGCAACTTTTTGGCGCGGTTCGTGACCCAGGTTTAACATCAGACCTTTGCCAAAGGTAGTACTGTCGGGGAGCTATTACTGTGACCTGGCTAGCAGAAAACATGTACACGATTATCACACTGGGCCTTGAACTGCTCCTGGTCTCGGAAGGTTCTAAGGAACTAAAGGCAACAAATAAGGACGAAGGGGTAGTAAGTCCTGTGAGGTTTCTCCCTTTCGTTGCTCACAGCCGCTTAGGGGAGCCAGCTTTGCACGTACGGTACAGGCGGCGCTCGTTTCCGAGTAGGCCAGTCGGTCAGGCAGCGGCCTACCGTGTGACACTGTATAGTACAAGGTGAATGATAAAGTTCTCTCTTGGAATATTTCGAACGCCTGGAAACAAAAGCCCGAACGTCACCACTGACCACAAATCTGATGTCTTGCTAGAGCACTGTACGAGCATAGTACAGCACTATACCCCCAAGGACCCCACCGCCCAATGCACTCGTGCATACAGCACCTCTTGGAAACAAATGGGAAAGTTCCAGCTTGTAATGGCCAACTCTGAGTTTTAATTTTAGTCTCTCTCCCTCTCTCCCCTCCCGTGAACACGGATACTGTGCCCGAGCACAGTTGAAGTGACCACAAACGACAATCCAGTCCACCCACGGCATAATAATATATCATGTCAAATATCAAGAATTTATCCCCCCCCCTCCGAAAAACTCCGGAATTCGGAACCAAATATTCACAATTATATCCTCGATACCATACAGGAAGGAGGTATGTACTACACTTTACTGTAAGGTAGGTATCTATTACTCCTCCCTCCATGGATGCACTCGAACAGATCGGTCTGTTCACCACCCCCACCCGCCGACACTAGCATGCGCAGCTTTATCTATCACTTGACTACCCGTATCGTAGGCTATGGTCGACTGGTGGGTGTAGGCTTTGGTACTGATTCTTGTGTTGTGCAGTGTACTGTACGGTACTATGCTGGCAGACGATGGGAGGTGGTGTGGTGTGGTGTGGTGTGACACTTGGAAGGTATGAACTTGCTGTGCTTGGGTGGTCGAATTCGAGTTTTGGAGGGCTTTTTTCCTTCTCTCTTTTCTTCAAATTTGGATTTGGTTTATTGATTTATTTTTGTTTTTATTCATTTTTTTTCTTTTCTGTCGTGAGGGTTGTTGTGATTACTGTTAGGGGGACATGAGATGGAGTAAAGTGGAAGGCGGAGTGAGGGGAAGTAGGAAGAAAAAAATGAAAGTAAAAAAAAGAAAAAAAAAAGAAAAAGGGTGTGATAATACTGAAAACTTTCTCAACAAACATCATGGCATGGGGTGGGAAGGGAAAAAAAATGGGTTTTTTTAAGCAAATAATAAACGTGACATGGTGATATTATACACTTTCCAACTCCCCACCTCCCAATCCCTCCGCCGCAAGGTCCCATCTGGGTACGGTACGGCACGAACCCGACTCACCAATCAACTAACCGACTCACTCCTCCATCATGACCTCCCCATCCTCCCCTCCCACATGCCCGCCGTAAGCCTCGCGCCTCGCCGCATCCAGCACGCCAGGAAACCAAACACGCAGCTGTGCCTTCTCTACGAACCTGGAGAGGAGTTTGTTCTCTTGGGAGAGGTCGTGGCCAAGAGTGCTCAGCTCGGACTCGTCAGCGCGGGCGAAGCGTGTGCGTAGCTCCTCCGACGAGTCGGAGAAGAAGGCCTCCTCGGGCGCGAGCGGCTGGTAAGGCGAGTACTGGGCGAAGAGCCCGTGCTCGTAGCCGAGCTTGATGGTCTTGTAGACTGCTGTGTCGTAAGTGGCGGCTTGCATGTGCTTGTCGCTTTTGTTGCGGGTGTCGAGGATTGCTTGCCAACTTTATTCGTGGACGTTATTTGTTAGCTGCCTTGTGGGGATGATAATGATAGCCAGTGGAAGGTGGGTAGGTATACTTATCGCGGAGAAAACATCTCCTCCAGATAGTCTTTTCCGTGAATTTCCTGCGCTCCAGTGGGAGGCCACCGAGACTGAGAGCTCTTAAAGCCCAATAGAATTCCTCGCCCCTTTCCGCTCCGAGCAGTAACGATGTCCCCTCCTCGTCGCTGTCCGCCAGCGTGAGCAGGTCCGCGAGTTCCTCCACGCCCATCACCTTCCCCTCCACGGCCCACGCAAAGGCGCGTTTCCAGAGCTCACGGCAGCCGGCGCGCTTCTTGCTGGTTAGTACGCCGCCCGCGTACTTCTCTAAGCCGATCTGCACGGCACCGTCGGTGTCGATGGAGGTCTTCCTGATGACTTTGACGGCTTCGTAGACACGGTTTTGTATATCCACCAATTCCAATTCGGAGTCTATGCTGCGTACACTTTGTTCGTCCAAATACCCCGTTGCCGCGATTTTGGCTAGTTTTCCGATTGATAGCTCGACCTTCTTGTTCCATTGGTCTTCCTCTTGCTCCGTCGCTATTTCTAAAAGGGTGTCTGCCGCGCGGGCGTGCTCGCCGAGTCCCACATCGTGGATCCAAGAGAGCTTTGCATATCTCCTGCTGGACCGTACGAATCTGGTCAGGTACGTTCCTCGCCAGTTCTCGAAGCCATTGAGGAGCTTCTGTAGTTGGCCGTTCTCGACGAGGTACTCGTACATCTCTATCGCGTAGACTTCGCCAAATCTGTCAAAGTAGGCTTCCATCCGCTCGATGGTCTGCTTCTTAGTGCGCGCTAGTTCGGCGGTTTCCCTTTCCATGGCTTCGCGATTGGAAGTGGCGTTATTGAGGTCCTTCTGGTTCGCCTCGATGCGGATGACCTCCTCCGAACAGAGCTCTACGAGGGTTCGGTAGTCTTGCCATTTCTCCGCGAGCTCGTAGGCTTTCTCCGGCATACCTAGTTCCGCGAGGGGCTTTATCCACCCACCGCGCTGCGCTACGTAGCGTTCTTTTATGGTTATGCCTTCTTGTAGGGTGCCCTCACCCTCTTCGCTTTGCTGCTCACACCATAAGGAGCGCTCTTCGAAGCCGCGACAGCAGACTTCTGCTAATCCAACGAGCTGCTCGGCGACTCGTTCGATGACCTCTTTGCCTTCCAGGTCTGAGGATAGCCTTGGTCCCCAGAGTGTTTTGATCATGGCGACGCTGACTTCGTGGTGGACACTTAGGGCTTGTAGGATGTCTGTCCCGCTGGTCCATGGAGGCAGCAAGCCACTGGTTTTATTCATTATCCCGTTCGAATCAGCACCGTGCTTGTCAAGCCTGTATAACTTGACGGAGCGGATCCGGAAGTCCCATGCCTTCATCAACGCTGCGAGGACAATATCATTGGCCTCAGCATCCATTTTGGCCATTGTTACTTTTTCATATCGACCCTTGCTTGTTTTCTCTACCATTGCGTGCTTGGCCTTGGGGATCAGATCTTCAATAGATCCTACGTATCGCAGGAACCAGGTTCTGATGGGGTCGCCCCCGCCGATGTCGTCATCCGAGACCAACAGCTCAGGGATGATAACCTCAAGGGCCCCTTCCTCGCCCTCTTGCCTGTGACGGAGGTGGGTTTCCCGCACGTTCCAGACTGCACGAGCGGCGTGGCATTTCTCTGCATCGGTCAGGAGACGCCACATTGTTTTCTTGGAAAGTGGAGGGAAGGTAGCCCGGAGGTGCTCAGCGAGCGCCCGGAGATGAGCTGTGCGGAGGGAAAGATGTGTGTCAAGTGATGGAAGGACTGCCGGGAGATATTCCGAGGTTGAGGACAAGATCTCTTGACTGATCTCTAGCGCTGCCTCTTCTATCTCTTCAATTCGGTACCTGATCTCTTTTCGTCCTTGGAAGTTCAATGGGTTCTGCGGATTCGTTAGTAGTTACTTCTCGGGATTCATGGTGTCCGCATACATCTTCTTTAACACCGTAAAAGACTGCTTGCTCAATCTTACTCTTCACCTGGATAGGCTCTATTGGGACCCTCTTCTTGACCGCTTCGAGATCAAAGGCTTCGAGCCGGACAATACCGGCACCTTTGGCTACAAGCATGACACCGGGGTTCCTAATTTTCTTCCCTCCTCCGGGTGTGCCTGTATCAGAAGTAAAGGATCCCATCATGTCTGACCGAGGCACGGAATCAAACATGACGTCCTCGGGACCACTGCCCACTATCTCTACGTTCAACTCCCCCCGAAAGTCAACCACGTCCTCAAAAACCCCTTGATCCTCCACATCCTCGGTCATCTCGTTATCATCAACATCTGGTTTCTGTGTCGAGACGAGAACGACAGCTCTCGAAAAGACCAAGAAGGCAGTTTTACCCGGTTTTGGAAGATAAAGCCTGGGTCTGGTTTTCCCTTCTTCTAATGGAGTTGTGTAGCATCTGACGATATGGATATCGCAAACATCAAGCCTCCCGCCTGACCGGAATTTGAGGGAAACTAATACGTGCAGAGCACCAGGACTGTTAGGAATTGGCATGAAAGACGCCAACACAAGCACGTCGACGTCGCAATTGTCACCCTCGACAGTCTCGTGGGTTTCCCCAACAGCAGCATCAACGATCACAAAAGCGTCCCTGCTTCGCAGCTGCATCTCTTCTGGAGCCACCTGCTCGATAGCTGAAAGAATATTGTCCCGTATGTCGACGTCGGCGACGTTTGCATAGGTTCCGGAGCGATTTGCTAGCCATCTAGAGAAGTTGCCTCTAGCTGTGGCAACTATTATCTCCCTCTCCCCCATTCTCAGAATTCGTCCGGCACGAACAGCAACGATATCCCGTCGGCTAGAGCCGGCTCTCAATGCCCCTAAAAACCCACCCATCATTCCAGTGCCGTAGCCCCTCATAATTGTCACTGTGATCCCGGGCCTCCCGGCCGGATCTCTCAATGCTAGATGCGCTAGCCTTCCTGAGCTCAGAGATAGTATGAACCCTGCTGGCTCGGCATTGCAGACAGCGGTAACGCTCTCTCCAGATAGCAAAGGCACTTTGCCTTCCACTCCTCGTCTTTTGGAGAACAATCCTTCGGCAACAGCCGAGCCAACCGAATCCCAATAAGCAGTTCTTCCGCTCAATGGCATTACTACAACCAAACCCGGTTCGTCACTATTCGCTGAAGGAGAGACCAAGGCGCCGAGCGGAAATGGAGAATTGGCCCCTTGTTCGTCATTGGGTAGCGGGAATGAGAATGTGTGTGGAATAGTATCGGATGAGGTGTATTGCCAGACATAAGCGGCGGTGTGTGAGAGAACGAGGGCATATCCGTTTGATCCTTCCGTGGCGGCGGTAATGGGAGCGGGGTTCGCTATTTCTCAACGTCAACCTTTTTTGGAATGCTGGGGAGTGATAGGACATTTGACAAACCCGTCTTAAGAGGGGGCGGTAGAGCGGGCAGTTTTGATACCCGGAATTTATTATTTTTAGTCTTGAGCAAAGAGTGTCAGCGAACAGGCTTGTCTCAATAGATGGGCATTCTCACCCAATCCACAGCACATCCGTCCGTATTCTTCCCATCTCCGCGAGCGCTCGCAATAGTCATTACTTTCCCCAATGAGGATAATTCCCTCTCCACAAAGCTGCCGGAGGCCCCCCGCTGCGATATAACCGAACTTTCCCTAAGGTTTCGGCTCATCGACGCGTTACTCCCGGATCGTTCCTGGCGATGTTGGTTTCGCGAGGATGGCCGCGAGGTTGGCCTATGTCTCCTTCTAGTAGTCGCCGGTTCGCCGGATAGAGGATTTGACGAGAACATTTTGCCTTTTTATTTTTATTTTTTTAACTTTGTTTGAGCAATGACAGAGAAAGGGATGTCGCAAGGGGAGAGGGCAAAAGTGGCTGGAAGGGGACGGAGCTGGAAGTGAAGCTCTAGGAATACCTCGTTATGGAAGGGGGAGTCGCGCCTGAGCACCCGTATGAGGTCTTGGCGCTAAGCGCACGTGATGAGGGAAGGGATGAGCCAAGCCTGGAAGGGTCGTTTTGCTGGCAGAGGAGCCGCGGTACAAGCATGATATCAGTATGATACGGGCACTCGAGTATGGTGATCACTGTAGTCTTTGCACCTTGGAAAGACGAGGGAACTTTGTCACGGTATACGAGTATGACATTAAATTTATACGGTAAACTTCCCGTACGATGGACTGCCCACTGCAAACTGGGCTTGCAGTGTTGCGATATTCGGTGGTTACTGTAGTCACTGTACCGGCAGCTACCGCGGTTACGGTACTCCAGCTGTGTATTATGCAGTCTTCTGTGACTTGACTCGATCCTCCATCTGTAAGGCTAGAGATCACGGGATTCTCTCTCGCCTCCCTGCCTCTCCCCAACATCTTACACCTGAATTTACCCTGCGCACTCGCGCCGACCCATCCACACCCATCCACAACCGCACGCCCTTCCTACACCCGAGCCCACTTCATCTCCGACACCATCCCCACCTCATCTCCTTGCTGCTTGATCACTGTTTTCTTGTCTCCCCTTCGGATTCCCGTTGCGGTGGATACCCTTACCGGTTCTCTTCGACAAAATGAGCGTCATCATGGGTACGGATTTTCTTTTTTTTGCGAGACTTCGTCCGATAGTCACCCATCCACACTCCCCCCCCCCTCCCTACCTCACTGGCTTTCTCTTTCTGTAATATGTAGAATAATATAAAATAAAAACTGATATCTCATTCTTCCCCTCAATCTATAGCGACAGCGGGGTATGACCATACAATTAGGTACTACCATCTCCTGGCCTTAACTCCAGAGCTATCGCTTCTAACGTTTTCGTGTCTCCAAGGTTTTGGGAGGCCCTCTCCGGAATATGCTCACGTACTATTCAGCACTCGGACTCGCAAGTGAATCGACTTTGCATCTCACCCGACAAACGCCTCCTCGCAGCGGCAGGCCACACCACAGTAAAACTTTATGACATCAAGTCTACAAACCCGAACCCGTTGCTACAGTTTGAGGGACACTCGAATAACGTGACGGGAGTTGGCTTCCACTGCGAGGGGAAATGGATGGTGACTTCTTCCGAGGATGGTACGGTCAAGATTTGGGATACCCGCACGGCCACTGTACAGAGAAATTACTCTCACGGCAGTCCGGTGAACGATGTGGTCATCCACCCGAACCAGGGAGAGCTGATCTCTTGCGACCAGGCTGGGAACGTTAGGATTTGGGATTTGGGTGAGAATAAGTGCACGCACCAATTAATCCCCGAGGATGATGTCCCAGTAAGGAGCGTTACTGTTGCTACTGATGGTAGCATGCTTGTCGCTGGAAACAACTTGGTATCCCAACCCTCTTGCGTGCTTGTGCGCTGCGGGGCCTCTCTTACTCTGGGTATCGCTGACGATCAACGACGGCATTCGTTTAGGGCAACTGCTACGTGTGGCGTATGATTCAGAACCGGGATGTCACCCAGTTGGTTCCTGTTACCAAGTTCCAGGCACATACGAAATACATAACCCGGGTGCTCCTTTCTCCAGATGTGCGACATCTGGCGACTTGCTCGGCGGATCATACTGCAAAGATCTGGAGTGTTGATGAGAAGAAATTTTCGCTGGAGAATACCCTTCACGGCCACCAACGGTGGGTCTGGGATTGCGCATTTAGCGCAGATAGCGCCTATCTTGTTACCGCTTGCAGTGATCATTACGCTAGGCTGTGGGAATTGAGCAGGTTTGTTTCCAGGTTCCAGTGATATTGGTATTGTGGCTAGCGCTTGGCTGATCGATGGTAGTCAACAAATAATCCGCCAGTACAACGGTCACCATCGTGGGGCTGTCTGTGTGGCTCTAAACGACTACAGCGAGAGATAGGAATCTCCCAGTATTAACCGTAAGGACCATCTATTTAACTCGCCCCAAGACCCAAAGCGCACCCCGTCGGGTGCGCTGGTTGATGTTTCGGTCTAAGGGTTTGGGGGGTTGGATGTGGCTATTTCCCCGTTTTAGGGCTATTAAAACGTTCTCTTGTATAATATGGTGCAAAGTGTTTAAAATGTGTGCCAAGCCCGTCGCTTCATGCAATGCCCCTACCGGTATTGAAAGGGTGGCGGGTTATAGATATGGGATATGGAAAGTGGGTTTTGAATGTCCCATGCTCGATTCCTGTCAGTGTTGAGTTTTCCTTGTTTTTCCTCCTTCGCTCTACGCCGTTTTACGGCAATATTTCCAGGGCGGCAGAAATTAATTCAAATATCATACCTTGACTAATCGTTGCACAAATTATTCACCCGTCCGTGGGATTCCACTCACAAGCTTTTCATTTAGCAGAAACATGGGCAACATTCTCTGGGCTTGTGATTGACGATTCTGATTCTCGTACAACTCTATTATGGATGAGGCCGCTGTAGGGTTATTGATGGGGAGAGGTGAAGTATTACGCTATGCATTGCCATATGATACCAGCATCCATCATAATTTGCCGCGCTGGCTCGAAAATAAAGCATTGAATAATAATAATAATAAAAAGGTCTGGTCCAATGGGCAAGAGAATCGAATCCCCGGTCTTCAACCCCCATTTTCCTTATTTATAACCGTTTGGCCTCACAAGTAAGAGCATTACATGGTGCGATGGACTTGGTATGATACTATACACGATTTGAAAGCTCTCAGGCTCCTCCTTAATCCAGGGCTTTCATTTCATCTCTGCCTTCCTGGAGGAAAGCCTTTCCACCCGGCATCCGTGATCGGGTCTGGTAAAGACATGTATTTTGGCAACGCTCCTAATCTGTTTTTCTTTTTTTCTTTTTTTTTCCGGCGGTATACAGAACCCACTACTCATTGTGCGGCGGGGTGTTCGGAGGATACTGGCCAGCCTATCCTGATATCTACACTTCTTGGATGAAGATGCGGCGCTGGATGTTAATAGCAAGCTGTCATCCCTGCATAGGCTCGAGTACTGTACTGTACTGTGCGGGTAGAGCACAGCACGCTACGGTGTCAGTGTCGCCTCCCGGACTTGTGCGACGTGCTGCCCAGTTGAACCCTGAAGATCCGTTATCATCCCTGTTCGGGGGTAGTCGGCGATGTCAACCCAGGCTATTCTCACCTGAACATCCGAGAATAATGGCAATATCGATCGGCTCTGAGAGGTTTGTATGGTGCGGCCGTGACGTGATAGCCCCGCCGTGTGCATGAGGTACATATCTATCTATCATACCCAGGCGACATGGTTGGGGTCCAGGGAGAATAAAGCACCCAGGCCCGTGACAGCCCCACATCGAGTGATACACCATGCCCAACATTATATCCATACCTGCCGTATTATGATATAAACCCCGAACACATGGAGCGCCCACATCACCCATCCGAAATACGAACTTTCCAGCACCTGAGGACTCCGCTGGGATGAGCCCACACTCGTAAACCGAGTATCACAACTCCTCATTCGGCAAAAAAAACAACACTCGGTTACCCCGTCCTGCCTTCATGAAATCCGTATCATATCACCCCCCCCCCATCCCCCTTACCTCTAGCCTTCCCCCCCCCCCCAGAAAGCCCTTCTCAAACCTACGCTGCTCAGGAATAGTTACTAGGACGACGGATTAACTTACGACCATGTCCCTCTCCCTCCGCGGCAAAAACGTTCTGGTGACTGGAGGCTCCCGTGGGCTAGGAGCCTGCGTGGTGCAGCGCTTCGCAGCGGAAGGCGCGAACGTGGTGGTGAATTACGTCTCTGCCGCCGACCGCGCGGAGGCGCTGGCGAAGGAGGTGCGGGAGCAGTACGGGGTTAAGGTGTTGGTCATTTGTGCGGATGTTGGGAGAGATCTGGAGTGTAAGAGGCTTGTGAAGGAGACTGTGGAAGGGTTGGGGGGCTTGGACGTTATTGTCTCCAATGCTGTGGGTTTCTCTCTCTCGCTCCCTCGGCTTGCTGCGCGCGGGGTGGGACTGATTTGGGGGGTGGGGGAGGTGTAGGGATGGACTAAAGTATCTGATTGGAAGGACTTGTATGCACTGGGGGAGGAGGAATGGGATAAGGTATCATACTTGTCAGTATACCACCCTGGAAGTTACTGTACTAACGGGAATAGTGCTGGGCGGTAAATGTGAAAGCGAACCTCCACCTTCTGCGCGCAGCGCTACCAACATTCAATGCGAACCCTGACGGCGGATCCCTACTTATTACTTCTTCGATAGCTGTTTTTACCCCCCCCATTCCTCCCACTCTTTCCCCTCCCCTACTAACTTACCAGCGCACGCTAGGGCATACAAACCTTCGGTAGCGCAATGGCATACTCGGTGTCAAAGGCGGCCGGACTCCACCTTATGCGCTGTCTGGCGTACACCCAAGGACCCAAAATCCGGGTCAACGCTGTCCAACCCGGTCTTCTGATGACCGAGTGGGGGAGGAATTTCCCCGAAGAGACAGTCGAGAGGACGAAGGAGAGATCAAGGTTGAAGGTTGCGGTGGGATTTTCCCTTTTTTTCTTTCTTTCTTGTTTCGTGGGATTGTGCTGGGGCTAATGGAGGGAGGGATAGCCTACGATTGAGGAATGCGCCGATGCATTTGTGCTCATGGCTAAAAGCTCAAGTATGACGAGTAGTACGCTTAAGATTGGTGAGTCTTGTTGGCAATTTGTGTGGTGGTGGCTAACGAGAGGGTTTTGTAGATGGGGGGTTGTATACTTAGGTTTGAATGATAGGTTAGATGAGGGAGTGGAAGAAGAAGGGGAGGAGGAGGAACTGGGAATAAATTAGCTTCTTTTTTCGCCATCACAATATCCACACCATCCGGATCTCGAGTATTTCCTTTACTAGACAGCTTCCTTATTCCTTCTACCTGTGTTGGGTCCAGTGCTTATCCGCCAAACAGACCAGTTTCCTTTTTTCATCAAGTTTCTCTTCTAGTTTTTTTTCCCTCACCACTCCCTCCAAAGTTAGACACCGTTTAACCCTTTCCCCTCATCTCTTCCTCGTTCATCTCACAACTTCACAGCCATATAGTACCATATCCAACTATGCCATGACCCCCTTTTCCTAATTACTTGTCATTCGCCGTTTCTCCCGAGGTCTTTTTTTTCAAGATCTTTCCTTTCCCCCGAGGTTCCCATGATACCAGCCCCGGGTTTTCCATTGTTTTTTTTTCTTCTTTTGTTTTTGTTTCCCGGTTTGGTATATATATATATATATCATACCCTCACCTGCAGATGCGGTGGTGGGGGAAAAAGAAAAAAAAATCTACGGCGAGTGATCGTTTATGAATCCTTGACATCCCTCATAGTAAAATATACAGAGGATCAATCCATTAACTCCTGCAGTCCGTCTTGGGAGCCGTGCGTAATGCCCCGAGCGAGGTTACAGCAAACACAAGCGGGTATTATATCTTATCATAGCGCCCCTTCTATTATGCACTTATAAAGTTTGATGTGGAATAGTGGTATAATATCACACCCGTCTAAATACAGTTTTATCATACCCTCTTGTGAAAAAAAAAGGAAGAATACCTTTCCCGCCACTGCTGCCCCCAGTCTCTCTCTTATCTATCCCATTGCACATGTAGAGGACCTTTCTTGCCGTTGGCCACCATCCACCGATCGATGTATAATACAATCTTTCTCTTCTTTCCTTTTCTCTCTCGTGTCCAATAGGTTCCGATTTAACCTGTTGAGGCAAAAACCAGTAACTTCAGTCCAGGGGTTTCGTTGAAGGTGCATCAGATAGCAAGAAACGGGGAAGGATTAACAGATAGTTCCTCATGATGGGGGGGGGGGGGTTGGAGATTGAAGACAGAGAGACAAGGCTTTCGTTGATATCTCTGTATGTAGAGTAGAGGGTGGAATCGGGGGGGGGGGGTTAGTGCTGCTAATAATACCAGGTGATAAGATCTGACTCTGCTCTGGATTATATACTTGTCGTACGGATGATATAGCGAAGGGAGGGGGAGGGTATGTTAGTAATCGTAGACACCCTATCGCAGTGGCGCATGAGTGAGAGGGAGGGGAATCTGTCATTCGAAATAAGGCCATGTGAGCGTTACGGTGTACATAAGAAGGGGAGGTATCATAGCGAGGCCATAATTCCTTTCTAGTTATGGGTTAACCCCCTAAACCCTATCTAGACGACATTGCGTAGTTATGTATGATAGGAAAGTGATGGTAAGCATCTACCCTCTTTCTATAGCTGCCAGTTCAGTAATCATGAGAAATCACTCATGTATCTCCTCAGGCCTGAAGTTGTTTTTGTCTTGCTTCATTGATGGAAACAACAAGACATCCCCCGCTACTTATATACGGTGCGGAGCCAGCCATCGGCTTAAGTATGCTATACGTACTGGCTTGATCCTCCAAATGAGCTATTCATGACACGGTATATGGAAGGATTGCCCCACCCGCTCCAACACCTCACGTCGAAAAAGTTTGGAGAAGGAAGATCGGAAACAGAACGCATAATCCTCAATTTCAGCGAGTCCACAGAAATGACGTACTATAGGAGTTTAGCAGCCGTTGTCAATGATCTGTTCCTTTATAAGAAGGAAACAGTCTCAGTCGGGCATGTAGGTGAAGGCCTCATCTCGGCACTCGCTGAATGTATACTAAGCGGTCAACTGGAAGGATTCTGAGAGGCAACTGTTTCCGGCAGCGGAGGCGGACACATAACAACTCCTTGAAGGAGGTTATGGTGGGTGATAAGCAGGTATTTTGGTATCGTAGTTGCTCTCCCGGTCTACTGCGCACTTGCTAGTGCGCGCCGGTGGGTGTGTTGCTGTCTTGGGTAGCCGATGTTTAATGTGGGGACATGATCGCGCCAAAATCCTCCTCATGGCACACTGCGGCTGGGGAAATGGGCCCGGCTTTCAGTGCTGATTTTGCAATTTTGTGTGCCCGTCTGGGAATGGGAGCTCCATCCCGAGTTAATAAGCGGTGGTGGGCGTTTGCGGCGATTTCTTTCGGGGGGCGGATTCGCTCCTGATGATCACTGAGGCTGCCTGCCTGCCCCTAGCCACATATATCCATACATTTCGTGCTCTCCTTTGGAGTGCAGTGTATGGTGTGTGTAAGTCAACGGACACAGGTCTTTCACGAATGCCAACGCTGGGGAAAGCGTTTCTGGACAGGGTGCCTCGTGAGCGATCGTGGGTGCAATTGGCTCTTCCCATCTGTCTATCCATCTCTCCGAGAAATGCGGATCTCGTTCTATTAGTGTGTGGATTTGCTATTGTCTGGGCTTATAGCTCTGTCACCTGTTGCACAACGATGGCCTCTTCCCGCTTCCTGATGTTGCGTACATCTTTAGTAGGAATGCGCACGTAGGCTGTGTATGGATTCTTATGCATAGGTGATTTCCTTTCCTGTGCGTAGTCATTAAATGGTGTGTTCCTTTCTCCCCATTTCTCCGGACTTATTGCTCTCTACTTTCATTCAGGCAGTCAATCAACCGTCTCCCAAACCCGTCTTGTTCACACAACATCAACCATAGCACCTCTGGTAATTTGTGTCATTCCTTAGGAATCGGGTATGGTGTTTTGCGTTCCTTGTATTCCCGATAGTATGCCTCGGACCGGTCGCCCCCCCTATTGAGAAGAGCTGAGTGGTCGATAACTCCGGGTGCTACTTGTTATCGTGGGGCGCTGTGTGTGGTAGTGAGTGAGGTCACTCACTCCTACCTATAGTAATTGTGAATAATGTCTTGATAACAATGAACCTATGATACCGCAACCTACCGCACTGGGTCTCCTAGTATTATTGTTCCTCGTCATCGCAGCCATAGCAGAAGCCTATGCCACAAGCTACACCCATATCTCCCTGCGGCATTACGATTTCTTTCTGGGCTTTGTTTGGATTTTCCCCAGTTTTCTCCCTCTGCTCCATGGCAGGTTTTTCTCATCCTTTCCTCAGAGTCACTTTCTTCCCACTATCCATTACTGGGACCTTTGTATGGAAATGTCGATTATACCTTCTCCCCCCCTCTTTTCCTTCTCCCTTGGCGTCGGTTCATTGACCCTGCCCCGAAACGAGAGGTTCGGGAAACAAAAACGAATCGAGAGAGAGAGAGAGAGAGCATTTATCCTCTCGAACAGTACTCCCCTGCTCCCTCATTTGGTATATCCTTATGGAACCACTAATAGAGGTGGAATAGGCTCCGATCACGGATTCGATTGCCTCGGTTAGTGACCTCCTTTCCCCATTCTCCTTGACTCCTTCGCTGTGCAGCTCTCTTCGTTGGTGGTGTTGTTCAGATTGGGATGACCGGGGCAGTTTTTTTCCTTTCCCTACCTGCAAACCCTTAGCTTCTCACAAGCGTCCTACTGAGAACAGGTGTACTATATCTGTGGGAGGCTCTCGGTGCCTTGACTGCTCCATCCCCGGAAAGTAGGGATAGTGGTCGTGCTCCCGGTTTGCATCTCTTAGGATCTTATTACAGGGGGAAACGGCTACTTGAAAAGTAGATCAGCGGTGCGAGGGTGGATGTGCGGTGACGGTATCTCTGCCGGTAGTTAAACCACTCCCGGAGGGAAAAAAAATTCCGGCGATTGTCCTTTTGCCCCCGTGATACCGTCCGGTTTACGGACCGACTGACCAACTATTTAATAAATTCAAAAAAAAGCCTCCCCCGGGTTACCTGATAACACGCAAATGATCCACAGGGTTGCTTACCAGGCCCGTGCCCACTACACGACTGCTCTGATGTTATGATTGATGGCTCACCTTAGTCTGTAACGAAGCGGTGCCGTAGTTATAGTACCGGTAGGGTAGTCTACCGGTGCAGTACGGTGTCACACAGCACTGTAGACTCCCTCTGGTGCCCTCCTTGTCTCCAATTTACTCGCGGTTTGTTAGAAGCACAGCAAAACACGTCCAGTCTTCAACTGGACACGATGAGGGCCGGCTAGTGACGAACAGGGGTATTTGGAGGGCAAGAAAGTGAGGTCAAAGTAGGGTAACAAAGAAAAATAGCCAACCCCTGTTCGCCACCCCTCCGGTTTTCGTTGTTCCCCCGTGGAAGACTATCATAATTTACTCCCTACTACAATTGTCTCGCATCGCATCCATGACGCAATATTGTACGGTTCTTCCGCCCAACCCCTCCCCTATTATCGGCCGATGCTTCTCGGTTATCATACCGGTATCGGCTCCGGCAACCGGTACCGGGTGGATGTTAGGAATCATAACTAATCACTCGGGCAACTATGCCTTGTGGTTCCGGAGATACCATATTAGCAGTGGTGGCAAGACGGGTTTTCTTACCGTGAGCCGATTTGTATTTAAGCTAGCACAGGGTGGCTAGTAGGATGATGCCGGTGTTAGGAAGTGACCTTGGTCATGATAGGCTTTGCCGAGAGGGCGATGGGCGAGAGGAGGGAATGAGGGAATTGGTGTAGTGGAGTTCGGCCATGGTTCTTATATTGGACGGGGAGTTTGCGGCTCACCTCGTGATGTTGAAGGGTTTTCCGGGCGTCCTTCCGATTGACTCATGGCACCCAGATGTCACTCTCCGCGCGGAATGTTAATGACTACAGGCACTAGAGCAGTCCCCCGCGAATACCTGCGGCCGAAGAGGTCAGAAGCCATTGCTTCAACGATGGGGGCCCGTCCTTACCGCCCTCCCTCCGCCACGTCCCACCCTACCGCTCTCACTAATCGGTTGAAACCCTTCCATCATTAGTGGACAATAGCTTTATATTTTTATATTTTTATATTTTTATACTTTTTCTTTTTCTTCCTGACCACTCGAGTAAAGGATTCCACTAATGACGTACCGTATGAGGAGTTTCAAGGGTTTTCTTAGGAATGCCTCTGACGTTGTCGGCGGGGGGGAACACAGGACGATCGTACCACGAGAGTAGAGAGCGGGGTATTGATACTGGGACAGTGGAGCGCTCGTTCTGTAAGATGGCCTTTTCGGGGCTTGTTTGTCCTATTCGGCGGGGAGAGCAAGGGCAGATATCATACGAGTATTTGGTTTCGCTCTGCGGGAGGTTCCGTCGTTGATGTCATTCGGTTATGCTCACGGGAGTAGGTGTATCGATACGATATGGTATGATAGCAGGTTCTTTTGGGGGGCCGTTTCCCCTCACTTTTGGGGCGGAGGTTTTTTTTTTCTTCTGCCAGGTGCTTTTTTTTTTTTTAACAGCTAACATGGAAGGCTTAGTTGGCTGGCCGTTGATGCGGCTACGATGTGAGAGTCGGTTCTGGTTATTCGATGTTTGGATTACTGGTGGGGATTTATTCGGGTTAATTGCTGGTGTGATTTTACCGGTGGGTGTTACACGTGAACTCCAGCACCAGACACCAACCAACCTGTCTCGTACAAGCACGGTACTGTGGTGTTGTGTGATATTACCGGCACGGCAATCCGCGGCAGAATCGTAAGGGGACCAGCGATTGATTCATCGGGTGAACTGCGATAGGTACGATAGAGTCCAGCGCAGAGGTCTGAGGTTCCATCAGTTGGGCTCCACCATGTGCCGGAATCTGCAAAGAATGTCTCAAAAAAAACATGATAACGGGACCGTTAACAAAAGAAAGGGGAGGGGGGGAGGAAAAAAAAAAGGGCGTTCGGACACAGCACTGTACAGTACCATACATCCTTGGTGGATGACTTACTGGAGAGTTGACGGAAAATAGGACAGGAGGAAGAGGAGGAAGCTCCGGACAAGTAACGACGGATATCTTTATCTATTGTATCCGCCAAACAAGAATAGTGTGCGGTACACAACAATCCCTCCTGTTCTTCCAACCAGTTAAGCAACTAATGGGTCAATCAATCAATCCAGACACTGAGCGAGTGAATACCCCATACGACGCTCTGGGGGAGGGGGAACATTCTAGCTAGGCTGGGCATTGCCATTCTTTACACTTTAGCTCCTTAGATGAGCAAGGGAGGGACAGCTGTATGGTGCTTGTAATGAACTGCACAGTAGTATAGCGTGCTGTAAACAATAGGGTTTCCGCTTTTCATATGTTCCCACGTGTGAATTGGAAGTGGCAGGTGCAGATGGTCAAACATGATGGCATACCGGCATGTTTCCTTTCTTCCTAAAATTGTGCGATATGTTGGGAGGCTGAGGGGATCCTGGGAGTGCTATCATAGGTCGAAGGTTGTATAGGGTTGTGATTCACGCTTCGCTGGGGCTTTGTTGTCAGAAATTGATGTGATGTGACAAGTTCGGGAGTCGTTTACCCGCCGTATGATGTCCGGGAGTAGAGGTCGAATTGTCCTCAGAAACTTTTCATACAGTGGGGCCGCTTATGAGGGGAATTGTAGGGGATAGAGTGCTGTGGCATAGGGAAGTGTCTATGATGTGTATGGGTATGTATGATAAGTCTCTCTACCTTGGGCACCTACAAAGCCGTACTTCACTGCCTTGTTCTCTCTCTATAGCTCTACTGATACTGTACGTACCCGAGTACTATACGAGTATATACCGGTACTGTACTCGAGTACTTGTACTGTACTTGCTTTTCTCGGAGAGAAAAGGAAGGAAAGGAAAAAGGAGAAAAAAAAGGAAAAAAGTTGTAGGGATGTGAAGTGTAAAGTCTTGTATTATATGGCGTAGATGTATGTATGGGTGAGATTTTGTGGATATCTATTCGGACGGCACACGGTCGCGGTGTGCATGTTGCCGATAGTAGCAAGAAGGAAGGGGGTTTTGTAAAATGAGTGATGGTGGGGGATCCATACCCGGCCTTGCGTCGGACGGAGAAATATGATATCCCCAACTCTCTTCACTGGACGATGATGCTATGATTGCCCTCCCCCCCCCCCATAGTGCACCAGGTAAATGGGGCCGCAGGGCGGGATGCTTGGATTTTTGGTACGGGTAGTCTACCAGTTGCAGCTACCGTTCAGCGGTCAAAGTCACTCTGCTGCGAGCGCTGTACCGTACTTGTGCCCTTATGATGACTTCTCTCTTCCCCCCCCTTTTATGGAGAGTCTGGATCCCTTCTCCAAACTTTTAATCCCTCTCTACCCCGGAGCGCTCTTTCTTTCCCCCTTATCCAGGGGCGGACACTCTGGAGTTATCCATTGGATCAAGAGCGTTGCTGGCGCCAGCGCCGGGGGTTTCCACTTGTTCTCTCCGGTGATTTCCCCCATGCTGGGTACCGGTATTACACGGCACCAATCATGAGGGGGGAAGCGGTGATGCTTCCACCGCCTCTACTATTACTCGAGTACTCCTTTCCCCTTCCTACGTTCTTACGATGAAGGGTGGGATAGGAGAAGGGATTGGATTGGATTGGATTGAATGAATGGCCCATGGTAAAAGGCAAAGACAAAGGCAAAAGGAAAGAAAAGAAAAAAAAGTACAGCAGATCCCTGCTTGCCTGCCTTCCTCTCCCCATCGATTCGACCACCTCCCTCAATTTTGCTGCAGCAAGTTCAGGGTCCCTCACGCGTGGCAGGCAGAATTCTTTTCCCATCTTGCAGCTCAGCTAGCCTGCGCGCAGCGAAGCGAACGAGACAGCGTACTCTACATACTCGTACATGGCATGCATCCATGCTCTACTTATAAGGCTTTTCTTTTCATTCATTCTTTCCTTTTGCGTTGGCTTTGGCTTCCATTTCTTCCTTTATATTGAGGGCTTTTTTTAAATTTTGATAATACGGTATTCTGTTACCTTTCTGTGTCTTTCCGTTATTTCTTTCTTTCTTTTCCTGCTCTTGCTCCTTCGTGGAAAACTTCTCCGATCCTTTGCGTTCTTTTTTTTCTTTTGTTTTCTTTTTGATCCGGTTTGGAAGGGAAGGGGGAGAACTAGAAGAGGGAGAGAGGAGGAGGAGGGAGAAAAGAGAAGAAGAGATAGTATTTTTTTTTTTGGTTTTCGTCCTTCTTCCCGCTCATCATTATCACCGAGTGCGTGGAACTGCGGTATCGGTATCGGTATCGGTATCGGTTCTCATTCACACATCAAACCATCCTTTTTCTATTTTATTTTTTTAACCTCACCCAAGGCAAGAAAAGAAAGAGGGAAAAACTTCACAGGATATTTCTTTTTCTTTAACGGGAGGTGAAAAAAAACCTCCCTTGCCCTGCAAGACAAAAAGTCGGACGGTGAAGGTTTACCCCATACTCTTCAAGAATTCAGTATTACAATTCCAATATTAGCAATTCAAAGGGTTACTGCTACTGCTACTATTACTACTACTCGAGTACGGTACTACTACCGGTACTACTACTGCTACTACTTACTTGCTTACTCCCCTCCTTCCGTTATTCCGTCCCCCCTCCCCCGCCTCTTACCCCCTCCTCCGAAGAGCTCACACAAGCACATACACACATACACACCCCAGGCATCCGTATTCCTTGCCGAAACTTTTGCAACCTGTCAAGCACCTGCTATTATTACTATTGTTCCATTCCACACCGTCACCTCATTACTGGAGGGGGGTCGTTCCATCCGGGACAACAAGAGAGAGGGAATCCCTTATTTATTCGTTTTCCACCTATCCATTCTACCCAGCCATCGTTTTTAACTTTCTGCCTTGTCCTCAAAACAAAGCCCTTTGAGAAGAAAAGGAACGAAGAAAAAAAAAAAGCCCCTCCCCCACAACATTGCTTGCCCCTCCCAGCGCCACCAAAAAAGGGCGAAAGGGAGAGGAAATTCAAAGCAATGCCGGACCAACCTGGCGGTGGTGGGAAACCACCGAAACCCAACAACGTCTGTCAACAGAACCATCGTCGTGGGAAAAGCCCAGACCCGGGTCCCAGCAGAAGCGACAGCGGTAGCAGCAACGACACCAACAGCAGCGGTAGCTCGATCGCAACCGTCAATGGGGACACCTACCGGCCCGCTTCGACTTCCTCTTCCTCTTCCTCTTCTTCCTCTTCTTCGCCTCTCCCTCCTCCTCCTCCTCCTCCTCCTCCTCCTGCTGCTGCTTCGGCCTCCGCTTCTCCTACTGCCAACGTTACCACTACCGGTATTGGGGCTGCAGCTTCAACCTCAAATTCGCACAAGTCCCAGAAGCAGCGACTACCCTCGCCCTGCTGCGACGATCTCGAATACGACCTATCACGTCTTCAGCGCGGCGACTGGGTGAACCTGGAGGGGCTGGTTACATGTGCTGCCTCGAGGCTTGGGAAGGAGAGGTGTGTGGGGATAAGCGAACTAGGTTCGGATCTATTTTTTAGAGTTTCTGCTTTCGTTCAAGAATCACATTTTCCCCTTTTGGCCGGTCCTACTCGAGTACTGCTCAGCTGCTTTCAAAGCTGCATATACATATAGGGATGGGTGGTGGCGGTGAACGGGATGTTGGATGTGATATATGCGATGGGATGAAGTGGCGGAGGGGAGTACGACAGTTAATTTCCGATCCGTACCTTATGTAACAACCTATATTTATGTTCCGGAAGGGGGGGAGGGGAGATTCTTGTTTGTCTCCTTCATGTGGCCTTCTTCCCTTATCCCTTCGCACTTCTTTTGTTTTCCTCTTTTCCCCTTCCACAAACCCCTCCGATTCCCACAAGATACCCATTGTCAACAAAGACCTGGAATGCTTCAATTGAGCTCACCGTCCCTTCTGTGTGTTACCCCACAGGTCGAGGATCACACAACTCACTATACCAACTCAAATTTTCGGACTCGACGGTATGCGCCGCTTCGATATCCAATGCCCCGTCCAACTACTTCTATCCCCAAGTCAAGCTATCGGAAATAGCAACCATGCGGTACCTCCTCCAATCCCCGCGGTACAAAATACCCATCCCAGAGGTGTACGATTGGGACCTCACCTTTGACAACCCTGTAGGGGCTCCATATGTGCTGCGGGAAGTGGTGATTGGGAAGAACATGGCGGAGGATGGGCGCTTCTACAGGTTGAGGTCTCAGGACAAGATGAAGGTGATCAGGGAGCTAGCACTGGTACAAGCGGAGTTGTCCAAGCCCTCCGAATTCACAGACATCGGGAGCATATACCATCGGGGGGAGGATAGGTCGGAATTCTATGTCGGGGAGCTAATCTCGGCGGCCTGCGGCGAGGATTTTCCCGAGGACGAGGAGGCGGTTCCCTCTAAGGGTCCCTACTCGAGCCTTCCGGAGCTATGGCAGGCAAGGTTAGAGCGGGAGGCGCTCCTGGCTATCCGCAATTGGTCCTCACTCAGTTCGGACTCGTCTATAAACTCATTACCTCCGTCATCGAAAGCAAACCCCCAGCAATTCGGAGAGGTATTGCAGCTACTTTCTGGCCTCACAAATCTATTCACCCCTCCACAGGAGCTAGCAACGCTATGCATTCACCACTCCGACCTTGCAATCCGGAATGTGCTGTTTGACGAGAAGACACTAAAAATCACAGGCGTAATAGACTGGGAGTTCGCAGCCGTGGTGCCACTAGTCATTACAGGCCGCTTCCCGAATGACCTAGGCTGGGAAGGCAACGAATTCGCTCGCTCACTCGGCAAGCTGGGGACCGCAGCAGAGCAATGGAACCACCACTACTATGATTGGACTAGCCTAGAAGGCGTAACCCCACCACCGGCGCCCAGTTGCGCCGTCTCCGAAAGCCCCCTCTCCACGGCACCCAGTTCACCGGAAGACTACCTCTCAGCACCGAACACCAGTCCACCAACCCCCCCTTCCCCGGACGAAGGAAGCCTCTCATGTTCGGAGCGTCCCGGGGGATCACAGATCCCCACGACCCCAACCCCCCAACAACCGTCGGATATCCCCTCCCCACCATCCCCGCCCTTGCCCCCACCACCAACCTCTCAAACCTCGCAGAAGGACCTGGACATCCGCGCCGCGCGCCTCGTGCAACTCTTCTATCTGCGCAAGTACTACGCCTCGTGCGTCGCCTCGCGCGACTTTGCCCTCACGCGCCTGTTCATCGACTCGGTAGCATACGTCAAGTTCAACGAGATTGTCATGGGCGGGCATGATAAGTGGTTCTCGGCGATCGAGTGGATACGCGAGGTCTTCTGGAGGCTCAAGACACTGGGCGAGGACGAGGCGGAATTGGGCGAGAGGCTGAGGGGTGGGAGGGCCGTCGTTATGGTTCCAGAGGTCTTTGCCGGGCGCGCAGATAGGGGGGTGGTGGATTTGGGGGGGTGGGAGGAGAGGCTGAGGAGGAAGCGGGGGTAGCAGAGAAGAATTGATGCTCAAGACGAGGAGCAAATTTTTTTATTTATTTTCTTTAACCCGAGTGGCTTTCCACCTTTGTGTTTGGGGTCTTTCCCTTGCGCCGGGTGTAGGGGATTAGATATGATTTCTAGATGGACTCGCATGGCACGGAAAATTATGTATAATTGGCACGGGACGAATTTGGATCACCATTACGCGAGAAGGCAGTAACAACTTGGCGCTACTCCTCTCACCCGACGAAAAACCGGCGGAGCGAAGCTGAACAGGCGCCGGCGTGTGGCCGGCGGGCGGTGTGGGCATCAGACTTAATGGCGTTATCTGGAGGTTGCATATCATTTTGGATTAACCTCAACTCTCACCTATTCATCTATCCGCATAATATTCCTCAACCCTTTTCTCTTTCTGCTTACTTTCGGGGTGTTTAGCTTGTGTCTTCTTGTTTACTCTATTTTCTCCTTTCTGATTTCATTATAGAAGAGATCCTTCTTTGCCTCTAGTTTATTTTTTTTTTTTTTAACTTTATCGCATTTCACGGCGCACTTCACGACGTTTTGTAATCACATCAATAATAATACCACGGCGGTCCTTTTTCTTTCCCATTCTTCCTTTCCCTTCCGTTTGCTTTACGTTCTTCCGTGATCCAAGTAGATGCGCTGCAGTAAGAGCACTGGCAGCGTAAATTTAATTCAAGTCGATGTTTGAGCAACTTATCAGCACCAGTAATAATTTACTCCACCTGAAGTTACGTCATATCCCGACCGCGCATCCATTGGATGCGAGACCAATCAAAAGACAAAGGCCACTCGCCATAGTCTAGGGCCCAGTGCAGCGCAGTGGACAACGGCCGTCGCATCGACGAGACGAGACGAGTCACTTACCCTTCGATATGATATCCGGGGGTGGGGGGAATGTTTCAGAGCCCAGTCCAACTTATCCCTACAGCACGGCTAGACGCCATCAACCACTGTAAAACATGGTACGTACGTACAATCGTATTGATAAAAATACCTAATTAATCCCTTGCATTACGATCAATGGACAGATAGATATACAGACATATGATACAGTACTCTACATCGCTGACCCATCTGACGGCACGAGCAGATTAAAAAGCACGCAAGCACTCCTGCAAGTACGCGCTTTAAAAAGCGCCCCCCTGCCTCATCCGTCAATCCATCGAGAAACAATAATCTACTCTACTGGCGGTAGAGTCGAAATCAACAAGTTTGCCACATAGGGCGGGCACAGATATAGTGAGGGGGGGGGGGAGGGTAGAATACAGCCCCGCACTGCATCAAAACATGAGCAGTCAATCGAGTGATATAGTGGTATATCAGAATTAGTTAAAAGGATTCATGACGATGTGCGATGCCAGAGAGGGGTCGGGAGCGATGAAACGGGACCATCGTCGAAAACCATGCGACTGGTTAAATCAAAAAAGGGTGAGCATCAAAAAGGGCTAACCTGAAAAACGAGGCATATATTGCCAACGACATCGATTTCATCCAGATGAGATCTACAACCTCGTCTCCTCCTGGTTTCCTAAAAGCTGGTTAGAGGGAGGCGAGCAAAGTGAACAATTTCTTTGACACCCTCAATTTCCGCCGGCCGCCAAAAATGAATATAGTTGACCATGCCCAACCCGCCGCCGCCGCCTCCCCATTTTTCTACGGACAATCAAAACTCACCTCACCATACGACCGGTAGATCAGATTCTGTATCATAACGATCAGCTTATCGGAATGCTGATACCAAAAGTGACGTGACTGGGCATACCGGCATTATACGAGTACATCTACCTCTCCCGAGCACTCAAGTCCAACGTGGGCCGGTCTCTCTCTCCCACTTCTCCCGTCCTGCCGACGAGTACGAGAACTTCTTGCAACCGTTGGCATAGACGTGGCAGCCGCATGAACGCCGACTCTTGGCGCAGATAGACAACAACCAGTCACGTGGGATGAATGGTCTAGAACCCTTGGCTCTCGCCGCGGCCCTCCCCGACGGCCTAGATCTTCGATGGATTCGGATGAATTTCGGATGAATTTTTGATTGGGGCGTTACCACTTTGTTACCGATGATTTGCGTTATATTTGGAAGGAACGTTGCTAATCCCAGCATCACCACGCTGGACGAGGCGTGCCCGAATAATAATCCGTGCCCCACGTCTGGCGCTAGTGCCTTCCGACACTAAGGTGCTACTTATTGGTAGAGATCTGGAGATTGTCCGGGAGGGTCAGAGATGTGTACGAGGTTCCAGAAGCTCGCACCTGGTACCTAGAGACGGGTGCTTCATAATGATGCACTCGGAGTCTGATATATGGCCTGCCTTGTGCCTATTGGAGATGGCTGGCACTGGAATTGGTTGGAAAAGCCAATCCGGCCGGCTCAAATTAATTTCTAACATGCCACGAGTTATTCGCTATCATAGAGGCAATACTTTCTTACCTAATCGACATAATCCCAAGGCCAGAACCGCAGTCTAGGAAGAGACGAATAAGGCAAGATCTCAACGTCAGCTAACGGTCTCTCCAAATTAATTCCATCGAACTATCCTCATAGAGAAATGCCAGAACTTACTAAAGACGGGTAGCGGCACGGTATGTTCAGAAATCTTAGCCAGCGACGAGATAACATAGTATGTTGTATCACTGACACTCGTAGCTAGATTCGCTGTTTATAGACGTCGGGATTCCTATCTAGGCTCAAGAAGCGGTGCACGTAGTAGAAGTTGTATGCAAACGAAGAGGATAACGATGGGCTCAGAGCCGGGCGTAACGGAGAATAGTGTTACCGAAGGGGGCCAGGGAAGGGTGCGGGAAAGGAGAGCATATGGAGCAGAAGATATAGCAACCTCAGTGTAAGAGAGGGGGCATACTCATGGGAGGACAAACACCGCCGGCGGTGGGAGCATGTTAGCGTATAGCTCCCTGATCCCTAAGCCAACATCAGGCACAATAGCCGCAATGACGACAAACACATCACCCCATACTGCAATTATCACAGGGGGCGCTAAAGGCTATTTATTACTATAAAAATTTAATAGGAATATGCAAGCTAAAGCCTGACTATCGCGTCTCAGCCACCACTAATTATTATTATCTTCCCTTTTGCATAACTAGATATGTAGCTAGGCAGGGTATGCTCCCGGATTACCAGGGAATATTTTAGCTCCAAGGCTATTCCCGAGACCTATTTTCAATTCGATTGAATAGATAGTTATGCTATGCTATCGTATCACGAATTGTGCCAGCCTGCCTCAGGCTGCCTGGTCCACACCCCACGAACGCAGGCGGACCAGAGAATCCCTCAGTGCAAAAAGAACAAGCGGGCGGCTCGACAAGGCTTGTTTTGTGGGCCCCCCTTTGCCCACTATATCCACCTCCGACAGGGGGTAACGTCTCCAAACCCTTCCCGGTCCGGAACATTGCGCCCAGTCCAAACGCTGATGATGGATGATGATAAAATTCTCATCCACCATATATTTTGAAAATACTGTAGCGGTGTGGTCTCATAACTACATGTAGGATCTTGGCTTCATGGTCTGGCACGAACTACAAGCAAGCACCCAACCTGAGGTCTCTACAAGCGCCAACAGTACGCTTCCTTGCCTCGCTAAATAGCACTAGGTTATTTATAGGGCTGGTTAGTTATATTCTACTTGCAGGTGTCGGAACCGTGTATTTGAGAGCTTTTTTGTGCCCCCGTTCCCAGCCGCCATCCGGCTTGGCTTTGTTACCTCTGCATATTGTCGAACCGTTCATTTCCCCGTTGCACGATCCCAGCGTTCTTTTATGGCTTACTGGCGATGAGGTTTGTTAGTCACGAGTGGGGACAGCCAACCAAAGCTAACTCCCTCAAGATGAGAGCAGGTGTTCCGATTAATGGAATATAGTTCAAACAGTCTTGATGCTTAAGGAGCTGTAGGAAAGGTGAAGAAGGATCGGAAGAAAGGCGGATCAGAGAAAATCACCTTGATGCTGAGCACAGTAAAGGCAGAATCTTGTGCTCGTCCTCGGCAGGATCTCTCTTCTTTTTCTCCCTCCACCTCGTAGTGCCACCTCGCCCCTTTTGAAGACTACCACTCAGGACGATGATGAGTGTCTACGCATGCCAAGGCAGGTCTCTCTCCCCATCCAACAGCAGGAGGGAAGAAAATGCTGTAAATATTTTGGTGGAACCGGAAAGGGAAAGGGAAAGAAAAAAAAGAAAAGTGGGAGCACCGCACCTACCGGACCCTGTGGTCTAGGATGGGCTACTAGCCATCGAGTATAAAAAGTATTATACAAGCACACGGATCCGGATATTGATGCTGTTTTACGAGAAGCAGGAGGCCTGCATCCCTTTCACGGCGCTACGGCAGTACAAGTAGCCCCAAGTTACTTGACCATTGGCTCTGCCTCTGAGCGCCGGAGTGTAAATTGATCTATCAAAAGCTCCATCCGCGCTAGCGAAATACTTACCGAGTGACGTCTCGTGATTCAATTTTATCATTCAACGCAGAAAGTTTGGTATAGAAATACATTGCAGATAATTTTTGTCACAAATGGAAAAGGGAGTGACACCGACACTCCTTGAGGAACACCTGTTAGACATTCCCAAAGCGAATGGAAATGAGATTGAATCTATTCTGCCCAAATAAACCAATCCACTAGTCCAACCACCCCTCGTTCAAGATAGCCTCAGTAAAGTAGGTAAGGATAATTGTAGCACCAGCCCTCAAGATTCCATCCAAGCTTTCCAAAGCCATGGCCTTGAGGTCGAAAACGCCTTGAGCGGCACCGGCGTGGATCATGGCGAATTCACCACTAACCTGGTAGGCGGAGACGGGAACGTTCTTGGCTATTTCGGCTGCGTCCGCAATGATATCGAGATAAGCGTTCGCGGGCTTCACCATAATGGAGTCCGCACCCTCCGCGAGGTCACGGATAATTGCGCGACGGGCAAGGCCACGCCCAGTATGAGGGAGTTGGTAGCACTTGCGATCTCCAAAGGACGGAGCGGACCCGGCGGCTAAAAATACAAAAAAAATGTTACCGCAAAGGGGGCAGAACAACGCGCAGTGGTTACACTTACCGTCGCGGAAAGGGCCATAGAGAGATCCGGAAAATTTGGCAGCATAGCTCATGACCATGATCTTGTGGGAAACCCTAGCTGCAATCAACCCTTCTTTGATGGCCTTAATACGACCATCATTCATATCACTGGGGGCAACACAATCTGCGCCGGCAAGAGCATAATCGACCGCGGTCGCCGCGATGCGCTTGACTGATTCCTGCTGGTTTAGGGTTCCATCCTCGTTCAGGATACCGCAATGGCCGTGGGAGGTGTACTCGCAGAGGCAAACATCCGCCATAATGAACAACCCTGGGAAAGCCATTTTAAGAACCCTAATGGCAAGGATAACAGGACCGTTTGGATCGGACGCCTTGGATCCCGAGGGGTCCTTGGCGCCAGGAGCAAGAGGAACTCCGAACAAGATGACCGAGGCAAGTCCTCTGCCAACAAGCGGGGCAAGAAACGGAACGAGTTTATTTATTCCACGGCTGACATTTTTTCGTAATATTAGTGACTCTAGAGTAAACGGGTAAGGAGGGTAGCTACCGCTTTTGGCCGGGAAAGCCCGAAATTGGTGTCTCCTCGTCCTCATTGTCGGTGATGAAGATGGGATAAACGAGCATCGACTATATTATCAGAGCGATGCTAGCATAAAACCGTGTTTCTCCCCATAAACCGGGGGTCAAGAAGCAGGGGATTGCTGTCCAAATCTGGAATTCTTACCTTCGTTAATTGCGCTTTGGCCTGCCACTTGCGGGTAAGCGGGTGATGGTACCCGCCTTGAAGAATCGAAGAGATATCGGTCATGACTGGTGGTTGGTATCTGGTTAGGGAGCTGGTTTATTCCGGAGTCTTTGGAGTGTTTGGTGGAAGTTTTAAGGGGGGAAGACTACAGTTTGAGAATTTGGGGACGGGCTCGATGTGCCAAGGTTTGGTGGGGCATGGAGGGTGGACTACCGGTAAGGCATTTAAATTTAAATTTATCGTATCATATCATACCAAACCGTACTATTGATGCCGACATGATATATTTATGCCGGTACCCGTGACTCTACGAGTACCGGTCAGTACCGTCAGATCACCTAAAATTCGCTATCAGATTATCTTCGAGAATCACCGGGAGGGATACGGTATGATACTTGTATACAGTGAAACCTCCGTTATCTCCAGGACGTGCCAGTGGGGAGACTGGATTCCCTGGAAGTAGAGGGGGGATGGAAAATAGAGGAAAGGCTTGGCAGAATAGAGGGGGTGCTGAGAGAAAAATGAGTGATAGTTCATGAAAGTGTACAGGTTTTAACTCCATATGTCTACATTCCGGAAAAATAATACACCCCTTCCATCTGATTACCCTTCATTCTAAAAACACACATATCCATTCAACTCACTATCTAGTTATCTGGCAATTTGTCCACAGCTTTGCCCAGGAGGTGACATGAAAAAGAATTTTATGCACATGAAACCTGGAATTTAGGAGCCATTTACCACCTGAAAAGAGGAACTAATAGAACCCTAGAACTTAGAGGAGGAAAGCCCATAGAACGAAAGCTGTCCCTGACAAATGATAGAAATACCGGAGACCTGGTAACATCGGAGGGTGGAGTTATCGGAGGTTTCACTGTACTGTACGAGTGCTCGAATAGGGCTGGCTAGGTTCATATCATAACTGATCCCGGCGGCGGACCCGGTCCCTGAGCCCGGACATCAGAGGCTCCCCCCGGACCTAGCGAACTACTGGAGAACTTCCCGCATTTTGAAAAGGCTGCCGCCAAGCCTTTTTACCTCTACCGGTATCAAAGCCTCAGTACCGTCACCAGATGTGCTAACGGGAATTGGGCACTCGAAACGGAGGTTGGAGGATAGGGACCTTAACTTTCATGGAGCTGAACCCATTTTCCGGAAAGAGAGCAGTGTGCAGCACCAACCCCCCCCAAGACCGGTATTTCCATGGAGGAGCTGGCAACAGCTATCACATCGTAGAGCTCACTTAACTAATATCGTCTGCCTGCTTCGCCTGAGAGAGAATCCATCACCTTGTTTAAAATTCCGTTTCCTATGGCCATGGCAGCAGTTCACTTTATTTAGATGTACTCGACCTTCGAGAGAAAAGGAAACAGTCCCTTTTAATACCGAAAAACACCATTACCATCGCCAATTGCAAAAGAGAAAGAGAAATTTTGAGCCATGACTACCCGAGCAATTATGCAGCCCTCCCGTCAACCTCCTGTAAATCCGCAACTCCGAGAGCCCTCCCTAGCTTGAACTTCTTCATCCCACTCTTCCTTTTCTTTTTCTCGCCTTTAGGGACGTCTCCGTCAATGTCCACATCCTCAGCCTTCTCCCCGACATCGTGCTCACTCTCGCTCTCGGCTTCTTCCAAAAAGGTCAAATCCTTCCTCATGGAATATGCGTTTTCCCCATCGGCGTAATATCTGCCCTCCACCTTGTTGACTTTGAATTGTAATGTGTCGCGGTAGAGGTGTAGAGCAGCCTTGTTTGAGACACGAACGTGGAGGGAAACGTATTTTGCACCGAATGCTTCAACCATGGCCTTTTCTGTTCACCATAGAGCAAAATCAGCTGACTGGGTAACGGGCATATGGTGTGGTATTGCGCATACGGCTCTGGCGCATCAATTTTTCCGCAAGACCTAGTCGGCGATGTGTCCTCATCACACTAAGGGAAGTAATGTGGCCGTGTTGAACTCCGTCCGCGGGTTCCTCCTCCATCTTCGCGAGAACATATCCGACAATCTTTGGAGGCTCGCCGGGCTCGCCGGAGGAGCGGGAGAGATCGACAGCAACGTAGGAGAGTTGTGGCCAGGACAAGGCGTGGTAGAGGTAGTACTTGCAAAAGTAGTTTTCCGGAAGATTCGTGATGTTCGCTAATTGTACATGGGGAATATCCGATGGTTGGAGAGCCCTGATATCCATGTTGCCTAGTTTCGTGCTTTGAAACTTGGAGAAAATTGGTGATGTCGGATATTCGTCGGTGGAATCCTTAATTCTGGGGGTCCATGCGGGGGATGATGAGGGACTGTTTTCGTCTGTGATAGGGTTGCGGGTTTCATTTTTTCAGCCTCAAAGTTTTGTAGAGCGGCTTGGCATCACATCCGATGGCACCTGTATCACAACATTATTAATTGCCTTTGAGGCTGCTGCTATCATACTTCTCTCAGGCCGTAACGGGTTGGGTCATTGTATGATATATGATATGTATGATACCATCGCAGGACATTTGAGATTCGTAGATCAAGGGTATGATGTGGAAATTGTTTTGATATCCCGACACATTCGGGCAGCCCCCCACTGCTAGGCTACTAGTACCGTGCTATTGCATCAGGAGCTTCCGGTGTTGCCAAATTATTATTCTCAATACTTTCAAGTCCTGAAGGCTTACAATTGGCCCCCTGACGTGCGACTGATCGGTTTAGAAACACCTACACAAAGCTGCACGTTCTGGTCATCTCATAAAATGCCTATAGTGCTATCCAGTTACACGGAGCATTGTTTGAGCAATAGAATGTGAGGCTCCTTGGCCCATTCCATCAATGGAAGCCGTTCTAACCCATGAGATGTCCATAGACAGTATGGAAGCCATTTTGAAAGAGAAAGGGAAAACCCCCCCAATCGGTCAGGCGGCTGTAATATCATGGCGTCACAGAAGGATGATTCACTTTCCTCCTCCTCAAACATTGCCATTGACACGGGTATTGCATTCACATAAGTTTGAGGTCTCATTGTTGTCAACACTGTTTGGGGTGTTCTTAGTCATCAGGGAAATCCTTGGCGGTAACATCACCCTTGCTCACTGTGAGCAGACGGCCTCTCCCTCTAACTTACCGCTTTTTCTGCTCCTCGTCCCCACACTTCAACCAACCACCACATCCCCCTCTCCTGAAATTTGCTCTACTATCAACCTCGGGAGCTCCCGCAGGCTTCTCGCACCGCTCATCGCCCTACTCGATCATCTTGTACCGGGGTTTAAGTTGCAGACCCACAGACAATAATTTTCCTACGACTACCCCCTCAGTTAATCTTTTTATTTTTCCGGACTTGTCCCATAAACAAAGACACGCTTTCGCCATGGACTCCGGATCTCCATCGCGAAAGCACCCTCGCTCGGATGCCTTCGCATCCGTAGCAGCATCTCTCGCGCCTCCAAACAAACGCCGGCGCACAACGTTTCTCTGCAACCCGGTTCCTCAAAACCTTCTGAATGGGGTTAGTCCATTTGCGAAGTACAATCGAAATGTCGGTTCACAAACACCTGCGGGCACTTCCTCGGTCTCCGGCTTGGCTTCGGCAAAACAATCGGATACACACAGCGTAACAAGCAGTACGGGTAGGTCTAGGCTCGCTGAGCAGATCCGAAGCTTTGCACCAAAACCTCTTATGTCCCCTTTTGCTGCGCGTGCTGCGTTGAAAAATAAGAGCTTTGGTGCTTCAACTCTCCGCCGTACTACATCTGCCGCCGGCCCTAGTGTTAGGGGCCCGAATGGAAGTTACAGTCGTCCGTCTTCTAGGGCCGGTTCGGTTGCGTCGGCAGTTTCACCTCCTGCTCCGCGACCTGTATCAGTGATCGGGGGTGGATTGTTTACCCCTGCTAAACCCGTTGCTACGCCCGCCAGGAGAATTCACCATCCTGACTTCTCTTTTGATAACAAACCACCCCCGTCCTCTTTCCGGTTTACAGCTGGTGACTCTCGTGCGAATACTCCGACTGCGCAATCGTCCGGAATTACTTCCCGCGCGCATACTCCTGTTCGTCGCGGGCCGACTATGGGCTCGCCTAGTGTGTCCTTCTCCTCCAGAGTGTCTCCGGCCGCTCGTAGGACATCACCTGCGGAAAGCAAAGCTCGCGCTGATAGCATTCTTGGATTTTTCAGCAGCAGCCTCGATAAAGCGAGGCAAGCACTGGCGGGAAACAGGGCTGATCGCTTGGAGGAGAAGAGACAGAAGGAGAAGGAAGCTATTAGGAAACAAATGGAGGAAGACGAGAGGATCAGAAGGATAGAGATATTCGAGCGAGAACTGGAGAGAGAGGAAAGAGAGCTGCAGGAAGAAATGGAGAGAATAGAGGACCGGAAGAGGATGAAAGAGCAGGAGGAGATCGAAAGGAGGCAAGAGAGGGAAGAGAGGGCTGCTGAGGCACAATTTATTTCTTCTGTCAAGCACAGAAGTCAGGAGGTTCAGCTAAGCTTCAGCGGAGCCAATGGAGGTCCTTCTTTTGTCACGGAGGATACGATTCCCGATACGATCTATACTGACTATAATACTCAAGGGAGTCATTATGGCGTAACATCTACGTTTCGAGACGGTCACCTTGCCCAATATTCTTCGCAGGAGTTGCACTCCCGTCCTAGTGTATCTTTGGGCGTTACCATCAACAACAACCCAGATAAGCTACCTCAGCCTCCTCAATTACAACGGGACCTAGCCTTACGTATGGAGGGGGAGAGAGACCGCGAAGAGGGCGGCGCATGGGAGCCCGAGGCCAGGGCTCCCCAGCAGCCCCAGAACAATGTTATATCGTTAGATTCCGATGATGGCGACGACAATAATGGTGATTCAGAACAAGAAACCCTACGGTTTGCCCCCATGTTTTCCCTTCATGAAGGGGCTTTTTTCTTTTCTTTTTGGCTGATATCCGGAATAGGAAGCCCTCGTTTTTGTTTTCCCACATGCCCACTCGGGAAGACGCCCCATCTGATGGTGGTTCATCTCAGGAGCTTGATGAAGACGAGTATTATGAGAATGAGGAATATGAGAGGGATGATTCAAGAAATTATGAAGAGGGAGAAGAAGGGGAGTACGGGGAAGAAGAATTTGAAGAGGATGCAGAAGCTGAGGAGGAGTATGAAGAAGGGGAAGAAGTTTCAACTATGCCGAGGCGGTTTGCGGTAGAAGATGATGAGATCGAGGAAGTTATTGAGGAATTTGGCTCTGAACCAGCTGAAGACTCTGACGGAGCAGAAACGGATCAATATGATGCTAAAGCTGAAGGGGAATACGAGGAGGAGGAGACCGAAAAGGACGATACCGATACTGAGAGAATTGTTGAATGGAAAATTCCTAGGGTCGGCAAAGGCGAAGATCCTGACCGCAGTCTCGGTTCAACCGTCTTGCTTCCGAGCCAGCCGACATCCTTTACTAACAAGGGGCCGGTCTCGCCCGGCGATGTCCCTTCGGACCCGGAAAGGACTCCAGTGCCCGAAGATCGCTCCTGCCCCGAAGCTCCCCGGGAGCCAGGTCCAGTCCAATCCACCTTGGGAAATAGCTTTTTTGGTGCCCAACAACCCACAGAAGCCCAACCGATACCCGTCAAAGTAGAAGCAAATTTATCCGCACCTACTTCCCTAGTTTCTGAGAATGATGTTCGGTCTGGAAGTGAGGAGCTCCAAGTCGCTGAGATGAGTGATTCCGGGAGGCAGCCCAGCTCCCCCAATAGTATTATTGTCATCGGTCGCAGCGTTAATGGCGACCCCGAGGATTCCGAAGCTTATTCGCAACGCGAGGAAACCCAAGAGCCCATCGACTTAGGGATTACTGTCAAAAGAGAAGATGTCTACAATAAAAATAAGAGACATATTGGGACAATCGACGAGCAGGGATACATTTATGCGAATACCGACGAGCAGGCGATTGGCTTTATGGATCAATGGGGCCAATTCTTCACCGTTGGCCATGAAGGAGAGGGTGCGAGAGATCTTTCCGATAACGAACTAAACGGCATGCCTTCTGAGGACGAACTTGAATATGAAGCTGTTAGCGGCAATGATGAGGCTGCCGAAGAGGCTATCAAGGAAGTTGGTAGAGATCTAAAGGATGTTCCGGGAGGTGTTCATGACCAAGGCCGTGTCAGCTCAGAGAGTGTGGGGTCTGAGGAGGAGCTGATTGAACCTTCAGCAGAAAAGGTCACCTGCAGCGACGATGAACAGGAAGATGATGCAGAGGTCTTAGTTGAAGAGGAAAAGCAAGTTGGCCTTGAAATTGGTAACCAATGCGAGAGGATGGCTAGTAGCCCGGGGGAGACGGCGTTTCCCCCAGCAAAAGAAGGTGTTGATCGGCTCATTGGGTTTCGCCATGACCAGGAGGAGCCTTCACAGACACCAAACTCCAATCGCTTCTTGAGCAACAAAGACATTTCGAAAAACCTGGCCCTTACGGCAGGTGGGGCACTGTTTGTGAAGCCTCCTGCGAGAGAAGAGTGTATAGTAGATGATACCATTGAAGATGAGCCGGAAATCCCCGTCGATCCCGATCTAGAGATGCAGCAGGCGCTTACCCCCGCATCTGATGACGGAAATTCGTCGCCGATGGCTGTAGACGAAGAACCTAAAGAACGGGGAGAGTCACCTGATACAGCAAAGGACCCAAAGTCGAATGACGAAGGAAAAGGGCCTGGGGTGACGGAGGAGTTGGACGAGTTACCTGAGGCTTCGGATTTGGTCATCGTAGAAGACGGTGAAGATGAGGAATCCGGAGATGACCGCCCTGCCCTCTACCCGATGTTACCTGATTCTGTCTGCGATCGAAGCTCGATAGCGAGGGAGTTTACACGCGAAGCTACGGTCGAAACGGTAGAGTGGGATGGTAGCACAGATGCACTTTACGAGGGTGTTCGCATTGCGCTTGAGGGGGTGGAGGGGTCCGGTGAATCTAGTGGGGAGCCTTCGCAGTCAGAAGAGCCTGTGGAGTCAGATGAGGAGATCGAATTAGTAGAAGATTTGGATGAGATTGAGGAGGTTGAGGTTGAGGTTGAGGTTGAAGGGGTTGGGGAGAAGGGGGTGGGTGAGGTAGTCGACGCTGAATTCGACTCGGGGGAATTGGAGTCGGGTCGGGAGAAGCAGTCAGCGGAGGAGTCAGCACAGGAGGGTGAGCTGGGGCCAGTAGAAGAGGGGGCGGGAGTCGTGGAGCAAACAGAGGAGGCTGATTCGGATGGGGGTGCCAAGTCAGCTACGTCGGGGATAGATCTCGCCGGCCAGGTCGAAACCGAAGAGTTCCAGGCAGAGGAGCTTGAGGCCGGTGTACAGGCAGATATTGAGGATACAATTGATTCGGAAGTCGATATTCCAGACAACATCTCGGAGGAGCCGGTTGCATTAGTCGGTTTAGGGCATCGGTATAATGATAATACAAATTCTGCCCATGAACCGCAGGAGAAACAGCGAAATCAAACGTCCGGAATTGAGGTTATTGTTGAAATCGATCATGCACGGCAAATCACGCCGGTCTCGGAAAATGCAGCTACAACCCCTCCGCAGTTAGAAGCAACCCCTCCTAAACGCCGGAGGGCCGATCCAAAACCGAATTACCCGCACCCCGACTCCCCACTCTCTGGCGACAGTCCAGTGCAGCAGAAGTCAGGATCAGTTGGCGATGATATCCAAAATCAGGATGCAGGTGAAGCTCCCGCACCCACCAAGAGGAAGCGGATCAGAAAGCACCGCCGGAGGAGAAGGCGCAAGTCCGGAATTGACCCGCTCTACGTTCCATCGCCACAGGAGCTTGAACAAGACGCGGAAGATGAAACTGATTCGGAGATAGACCAACCAGCAGCCAAACGTCGAAAATACAAGGCAAAATCGGTTACCACAACTCCGGCCAAGCCTATCAGGCTAGATGAAGAACTAGAGTCGGGTTCGAAGGTCGTGGGGACTGTGGCTGCTGCTACAGAGGTGGCAAGCATTGGGGAAAAGCGCGAGTGGAAAGTCAAGCTAGGAGAAAGGGGTGTTGTACCAATGTTTACATCTGAAGAAACCAGCATTCCTCTAGGAAAAGCGTTAAGGGATGGAAAAGTTGTTCAGCCCCCTCCCTTGATTGTCACCCCCCCCAAGCGGGCTAAACGCGGCCAGTCGGCAGAGCCAAAGGTGTTTAGCAGGGAGAATTCTGAAGAGCCTGAGGTGAGAGCACTTCGGAATCGAAATGTCGTGGTGAACCGCGGCCGATCCGTATCGGTCGAACCTTCCGCCGGCGAGAGCGATACCGGCAGGGCCCCCAAACGGATCAAGCGAGGTCCCTCCACTCAGCCAACAGTACCTAGCAGAGGCAGCTCAGAGGAGCCGGAAGTCCGAGCGCTTCGGAATCGAACTGTCGTCGTCAATAGGGGTCGATCTGCCTCGGTTGAGTTGTCAGCAAGCGAAACAGATACCGCTGGGGGTGGATCTAGACGCAAAACTCGGTCCGCAAAGACAGCCGTTCCGGAGGCACCAAGTACACCTAAAAAGAAAGGCAAGAAGGCTGCGGAACTGCCCCTAAGTAGTATCAAGGAGGTGGTTGCCGAGGAATCTCCAAAGAAAAACGCCAGAGCTGCTCGGAAGAAGTGATCCTTTCTTTCTTTTTCTTTTTTTTTCAGTCTATCTCAATGTTAATGCCCGGGTAAATTCTACTTTCACCATACATAAGTTTTGGGGTTTTTTTTTCGTTCGTTTCTTGTATTATAAATTTGTGAGATTTTCCCTCCCAGTTTGGCTGCTAGGGATCCTACTTGCGTTTGTCTTTGTTTGTTTTCCCCCCTCTTTCCCCCTTATCCTGTCCAAAGCCCTTTAATCCTATATTCTTTGCTACTACTATTCTATGATAGTCCTCAGCCGCCTCCTCTTATCTCTTATTTCTTAACACATTCGCTAATCATGCTGCTCTTGGGGGCGATTGTTCTACCCCTTTTTTGCTTCTTTCCTTTTCCCCTTACATTCTATCCTCCGGCGATGCTGTATATTACTCTCTCCTATCATATTATCCCTCTGGTGTTGGCTACAGGATGCGCATGTGATTTCCTTCTTTCTCTCTCTCTTTTTGCAAAGCACGGGTATTTGTTTGGGGGCATAATTTACCGGTACCTTGAGCGGTTGGTTGGCGAATCGATTGATTTTCATACCTGGTATAAGAAATCTATTACTTTGCTTGGTACCGAAACCGCCCTCTACGATGTCGTATTAACCAACCTGTTCCCCAAAGCGGTAACTTAGACTAAGTATCATACGGTATGATGAAACTTAGCCATTGCTAGGGTTAGGTGCGGTAGTTGGTTTAAACTTCCATTCACCCAACCATCCCTGCTTCGCGGTAACGATTTTGGGTAAAAACAATTGAGGGGTCGAGATAGTATCATGGGCAAGTAACTATGCCAATGTTCCCACACTTTGAAAGACACTCAAGAATAATAGTACCTCTATGGAGTGCCCAACACCTCAGCAAAAATAGCAGGACAATGAAATTTATTGAATCAGAATGGGAACACTTATAATTTAATACCTAATGGCAGGAGAAGAGCTTTTAGAGCTTAAGTTTCTTATTTCTAACTTTTACTACCCTTCTAATTTGTTTTGAAATTTTTCTCTATGGTTGATGCAATCCAAAATGTATACCAGGATTTTATCTATTTTTACTCCATTATAATAAATAACTGGATAGTGGTAAAAATTTACAAAAACCACTACTATGTAGGAATTGTTAAGGACAATTATGTAGTGGTTTTTTTGTATTTATTTCTCACTCCTACATGGAGGTATAATGATTTGAAATAATATGATTTGTATGGGAGAGTCTCTGATATGTTACACAAAGCCATATTGAAATTGCCAAGACCATTAGCTTTTTCCATCTTAGTTATCAAATCAATATTATTATCATATTATATTTTCTTAACATATGTAACATTTTTCATAGGGTAACCCAATCCTGGCATTTTTGCCTGCTCAGCCATGTAACACTCAAACTTCAGTCTGGTGTACATTTTGGATTGCATCAACTATACTACTTTTAGTATTAGAATTTAACTACCACTTTTTTTATAATAAGATTTAGTAACTGCTAAGACTTTTAAGTTGTCTTTTAAAGAATTCCTTTCCTTTCTACTATATTTATTAGCTTTGTCCTGTTAGGAAGACCTTTAAGTTCAACTATATTTTTTATATATAGTTTGTATAAGTTTAGCTATTATTATTATACTAGTAGGGTTTGTTTATACCATAAAATATTTTTGTATTTTTATTATTATTTTACTTGATTATTGAGAGTTCATAGGAGTGAATACATCCAGTCTTGTAGCTAATCTAACTGAACTGTATACAAAGAATATGTATTCCTTGTAGTATAGGAATAAAGATTTTCCAACTACAGTTTACTTGTTGAAATCTGCTAAAGAAAAACCCTCTAGGATATGGAAAACCAGACTCAAGTGATGAGGCTGAATATAATGAATCAAAGAAACCTCTACAGATAGTAGATAGGAAAATACTATAAGTTCCAGAAATCTATCTTTTCACTGGCATAGTATATTTAAAGATTGCTCTTCGAGTTATTGGTATCAGCAGGGAACAAACTGTAGTTGTCTCCTAGTCATTTCTCGATAGTTCTTAACCTCTGTTAAAGCTACATCCTCATAAGTTCAAGAATGCCTAGTGAGGCCTTGGTAGATGCTAGTGGCAAAGATCATATGAACGCGTTTTTATTAGAACCTACACTTGGGCACTCAATACCAAACAATTTTTTTT